TTTATGTGGCTTTTTAAACTGTAAAAGGTTCTCTTGGTCTTTAATTTCTAAAATAGCTCAGGAACCAGGGGAACTAAATCAGTACTTATAGCTACTCCTTAGCTTCAAGGCCAGAATCAAGTTGTGTTTGAATGCAGGGGCAGATTACAACTGTGACAAGCAAGGCGGCTTGTTAGTAAATACGCTGGAGTGAGCCGATGCTCTGCCAGAGCGGCATTGTTTATACTTCACTAGATGAATCGCTTAGGGGAAGAAAGCCTGCCTGTTAATAAGCCAGCCTGATGTGACTAATGGCAGTTTTGGCCCCAGCCTGGACAGTAGGGGCTCACAGAGTCAAACACATCTCACTTTCAGCTCTCACTGGGATTGAAAGGTTTAGAAAGGGTTTCCAACTGAGCACCTCAGGGATTTTGGTACAAAAATGCTGAAAAACCTCAAGTACAGTGGTTTGTTTATAAAAATCACAGGAGCCCTAGTCCTGCCTAAGAGAGGTCAGGGGAATGCATTTGTTTAACCTCACAAAAGTTCTTGACCAGAGATTTTTTTATTCAATTTAATCTACATCCGTAGCAATTCTATAATTGAATAATAAGTTTTTATTATGAAAGTTATGAGTGTATTTCTAACAGTCACCCAAGCAGCTCTAGCTGTGTTCTCTCTCTCTCTGTCTCCTTTTTCAAGTACAGTGACTGGAGGTTTTGGCAAAACTCCTTCAAGGAGGACTTTTAATGTACCGCTCACCTGCTGTGAAGGAATATTAAGCAGCAGAAGCCCCATGAGCAGATCCTTTATGTGTGGATGGTGGTGTGGGTGCCATTGCAACAGTGTCACCGATTGACCCCCTTCTGCCCCCATAACTCTGCTTGGTAAAGACAAGCAGGTGGAAGGAAGAACTGATATGTGAGCTGGGGCCTTAGGAGCCAAGAAGGAAACAGCACAGCCCAAAGAAAAGAGCCTGTGGATTCTGGGTTCCCAACATGATTGCTGCATGTGATGTTTCTTGGAAAACAGATGAGGATAAGGTTGAAGAGACAGACTAATTCCAGGGTATGGTGGCACTTCTGTAATATCATCAGACCCCTGACTTTAAAAACCATCCATTAGCCAGTGAACTTCGACTAGACATCTCCTGTTTGTGCCTCTCTTCAGCACTCCAGATTGCTATGCTAGCTGCCCACTGACACCTCCAACAGGAGTGCCTGAAAGGTATCTCAGAGTTGAGTTTCCCCAACCCACTCCACTTCATTTTTGTCCCCATCTCATCAATAAAAACAAAAATATTGGAACTATATTTGATTCTGCTCTATTGCTCTGTCCTCCACATCAATTTAACAGCTAGTCCTGCTGACTAGAACTCCAAGAGACACACTGCAAAGACACAAACTTCTCTTCAGCTCTACCCCTGCCCCAACCACAGCAGTATAACCTGGCTATGGTTTCCCTTCGCATCACCTTATGAAATAAATTATACTCTTCATTAGGTGAAGTGGCTGGCAATCAAAACCCTGCTAAAGTGGATGGGTTCAAGAGAAATTAAGTGTGGGGGGAGTAGCGAACTCTTAGAGAGTTTTTCTTTGCAAGGCAAATGTGGGTTGAAAGGAATGTGTTTTTCTAAGGAGAGATGGTGAGGCATATTTGTTTGTTGAGAAAGGGAGAAAGGAGCACAAGGTAATTCATAGGAGAGGGGAAGATGATGGGAACCATCCTCTCTGGTGTCCCAGCATGTGCAGTTCATCCACAGCCACAGGAGGGAGGGACCTGAGTGTCTGCTCCACAGGTGTGCTTTAATTTTATTTTTAAAATATAGTTGGTATATCGGTTATATTAGTCTCAGATGTACGATATAGTGATTTGACATTCTTATACCTTACAATGTGATTATCCCACTAATTCTAGTAATCACCTGTCATTGTGCAAATTTATCACAGTATTATTAACTATATTCCCATTCACCTGTTCACCCATCACCTACCCACTGCCTTCTGATAACCGTCCCTTTGGTCTCTGTTTTTAGGAGTCTGTTTTTGCTTTGTTTGTTCATTTGTTTTTGGTGTTTTTTTTTTTAAGATTTTACATATAAGTGAAACCATATAATATTTGTCTTTCTCTGCCTGATTTATTTCACCTAACATAATACCCTCTAGATCCACCCATGTAGTCACAAAAGGCAAGATTTCATTATTTTTTATTACTGTGTAATATTCAATTATGCTTATGTGTATGTGTGTGTGTGTGTGTGTATGCATATCATATGTATATATGTATCACATCTTCTTTATTTATCATCTATCGATTGACATTAGTTAGCTTCCATATCTGGGCTATTGTAAATAATGCTACAGTGAATATATGGGTACATACATTCTTTTGAATTAGTGTTCTTATTTTCCTTGGATAAATATCCAGAAGTAGAATTGCTGGTGGGCTGTAAATAAGTGAGCAGATGAACTGGCCCAAATTCACCCCAGTTCTCTCAGTGAAGTAGGAAGTGGGTTATCAGCTGACAACGGGAAGGATAAGGAGGAAGAAAAAGAAGTAGGTCTGGGGACATGTGCCTTCTTTCTGAACACACCGTGGACCTTGACCAGCTTTTCTCTCTGCCTGGAATGCTGTTACGTAAGACTACCCACATGGCTGGTGACTTTGTGACATTCAGACTTTAGCTTAAGTGTCACCTCCTCAGAGAGGCTCCCCCTGACCTCAGAATCTAAAATAGCTACCATAACACTCACAGTCAGGTCACCCCATTTTAATAATCTGATTAGTACTTACCACTGTGAGATATTTAGCTTCTTTATTTTTTACTTATGTATATGTTTATTGCTGTATCTTTTACTACAGATAACTAGCATTTTTCTTTATTGTTGAAAGTATTACAAGTGTCCCTCTTTTTTCCTCTTTGACCCCTTCTTCCTGCTCCCACCCCTCTCTTGCCCACATTAGTCTGTATCCGTTGGTTGTGCATATATTCATATAAGTTCTTTGGTTTATCCCTTCCCATCCCTCCCACCCCTATCTCTCTGAAATTTGTTAGTCTGTTCCTCATCTCCATGACTCTGAATCTCTTGTAGTCAACAGTTTATTTTGCTCATTATGTTCCATAAATAAGTGAGATCATGTGCTACTTTTCTTTCTCTGACTGGCTTATTTTGCTTAGCATAATACTCTCCAGGTCCCTCCATGTCATCTGAAAGAGTAAGAGGTCTCTCTTTCTTATAGCTGCATAGTATTCCATTGTGTATATGTACCACAGCTTTTTTACCCTCTCATCTACTGATGGGCACTTGGGCTGTTTCCAGATCTCAGCAATTGTAAATAGTGCTTCTATGAACATAGAGGTGCATATATTCTTCCTGATTGGTGTTTCAGGTTTCTTAGGATATATTCCTAGAAGTGGAATCACTGGGTCAAATGGCAGTTCCATTTTTAGTTTTTGAGGAATCTTCACACTGTTTTCCATGTGGCTGTAGCGGTCTTTATTAACACCAGCAGTGTACTAGAGTCCCCCTTTCTCCACACCATCGCAAGCACTTATGTGATGATTTGTTGATGGCAGCCATTCTGGCAGGTGTGAGGTGATATCTCATTGTCATTTTAATGTGCATGTTTCTGATTATAGAGATACTAGTATTATTTACAATAGCCACACTAGACCTTGAACAGTTAGAAAAGTCTTAATGAATAAGTATGAAAAATCCTGTTCTTCAGGGAAAAATACAAATGTTTCATGATGGAATACAGTAGAACCCAATTTGGATGTATACACTTGAATAGGCCTGGAATTATATCTGTGCATGTGCATGCATGTGTATGTGTGTGCATGTGTGTGTAGGGCAGTAGGGTGCATTAGCAGCCAACTTAAGTCACAAGGTATCTGTACTCTTCTAGGCAAAGAGAAATCTCTAAGTCCTCAAGTCTACTCAGCATTTACTTGAATTTTGTACCAACCTTCCCATGCCTGCCTGGCACGAGTGAATTTGGACATAGAGGTTTAGATACCATTAGTAAATATTATGTAAATATCTAAACATATTGTATCAAGAAAGACCTTTAGAATGGGTAAATGGCAAGGCCAGGCTCTATTCAAAAACCCTGCTGGCTCCACAGCCAGAGTCTTAAGCAAATCTGGATAAAAACAGGAAGTCTGTCAGTCTAGGGGCAAATGCACACACAGTTTCATAGGACTAAAACAGCCTCCTTTTGTCTTAAGGTGAAGGTTTATATTATAATTCCTCTACAAAACCCCTAGGGAAAAAGTCTAATTTTCAATAAAATGTCCTGTGTAATCTTCAAAAATAAAACAAACAAAAAAAGACCCCGGTATAACTAGTTTAAAATAGTACATAGAAATATATGTGTGCTCTGTACATGTTTTCTTCCCTAAATCTCTAATGAATGTACTGGGGTACTGAATTGTCCATAACTAAACCGGTATATCATTCCCTAAAAGAATAAAGTAAGAAGTGACTGTATATTTAGCCAAGCCAGCCAAGACCACTCATTCTCCCATAGTCAAGAAATACTAAAATAGTGAACAAAGAGAAACTTTAGGAATAAAAAGGATTTTCTAAGCAGTGCTTTGGCCCACCCTTTCAGTTAAAGCCATGGACACTTACACCTCCCATCACCTTGCTAGCAAATTCTGTAAATTTGAGGAACCAAACCCAGACTGATGAAAGCTAAGTTTATTAATAGATGTTTCAGACAGTTTCTTATTCCACTCACAAAAAGTGAGCTCATGCAGGTAAGATGATGTGCTATTAGAGGCCCTATGATTAGTGATGTTTCCTGTTTACTTCCACAGGAAAGATTAGAGTTCCTCAGGAACTAGCAGAGACCTGGGGGGACTTAAGTGGTTGTCCTTTTTTTTTCAGATTTGTAAAATCACCTCATTGACTGACCCATAAATTACAAACCATATAATCTGCTGGGTAGATAGAAAGAGTTCTAGACAACAGCATTTTCTGTTTTGCTTTATTTTTATTTTTATTTTTATTTAGGCTGGAGGAGAAAAAATAGATTCAGAAGAGGCGCTGATCTATGAAGAGGAATTAGACGAAGGAGATGGTGTTGAAGGCGAGATGGAAGAAAGCACAAAATTAAAAATCTTCCGCAGGCTTGCCTTCGTGGCTTCCAAGCTTAAGGAGTTTATTGGCAACATGATAACCACCGCTGGAAAAGTAGTTGTGACAATTTTACTGGGTTCATCAGGTGAGAGTTTCCAGTACTGGGTGGAGCAAATGACACTTTGGGGAATATGAAAGATGGCCAAAGAGAAAATAAAGAAGAAAATAATTCTGTTCCATGACATCAATATAATAACTGTAGCTTTTGTAAAAGAGGCCACACGTACAAACCACACAGTCACAAATAACTTTTCCTGTGCAGTTCTAGTTTTAATAATTTTAGATGGAGTCTGTTAACTTCTACAAAGCAATCTTTTTCCATATCTGTTAAGTGATGTCATTTTCTATACGTAGGATCAGAAAAACAACTGTTTTCTTCCTCAGAGCCTATGAGTGGTGACCTGCTACAATGAACAATTTTAATGTAGCCATCCAGAGCTATACAGGTGCATTCTGAGAGCATGTCTGTTAACATTGATTTGTTAGTAATTGTAATTTAACTTTCCAGGATTTACTGTTTTCCTTCCTAAATTAGAGTGTAATCTTCCAGCACAGAGACACTCCCTTCCTTTAAATCTTGGCTACAGACAACATAATTAGGTTATCTCAGTCTTTTCCCCCTTTCCATTTCACTGTGCACCATTGCTCCAGATCTACCATTTATTCAGTATTGCCTTGATGACATTTCACAAGATGAAACAACAGTTTTTTATTTTTATTTTTTTAATTAATTACTTTTTTATTACAGATGTTTCCTTTTTCCTTCATTGACACCCTCCTCCCCACTTCTCCTACCCCCACCTTCACCGCACTGTTGTCTGTGTCCACTGATTATGCATATATGTAAATAAATTCTTTGGTTTATCTCTTCCCATCCCCACCCTTCAACCCCCTTCCCTCTGATGTCTTTCAGTCTGTTGCCTACAACATTTTTTAATAGGAAAATAAAAAGTGGAAAAATAAATGGAATTTCTCAAGATATATAACCCAATATTTTAATGAAGAGTCATTTCAAAATGCCTCCCTGAAAAGTTTTTAAATGCTTGTAAAGGACTTACCTCATTTTACATTTTCTTTTTTGGTAACATGCAAATTAAATTTTATCGGGTGGTACAATATTCTAGCAAGACTTTAACTGCCACAGAATCTAATATTATTATGAATTCTAGTTAACTAAAAAAAAAAAAAAAGGTAAATCATTATTTTTAAAATAGTATCAGGGAAAGTTGGAATGGACATGCAGTACTCCTGAAAATTTTTAGGGAGAACTAGAAGATGGAAACGGGCAAACAAATATACTGAATTCTACTGGTATGAAAATGAGATGTTTACTTAGTTTAAATACCAGAGATAGAATTTCCTCTTCATCTGGTATTTCCCCATATTTATAAATATCACTTTATGTGTGACTTTTTATAATAAAATTAGCATTAATACTGATTTTATAAATAAAATATTACAATTTTAAAAATCTGATCAACCAGGCTGGTGTGGCTCAGTGGTTGAGCATTGACCATGCACCAAGAGGTTGCCAGTTTGATTCCCGGTCAGGTCACATGCCCAGGCTGTGGTCCTGATCCCCAGTGGGGGGCATGCTGGAGGTGGCCAATTGATGTTCTCTCTCATCGATATTTCTATCTCTCTCCCTCTCCCTTCCTCTCTCTCATCAATACCTAAAAACCCATGGAGGAAATATATATAATCTCTAGTACTTGCAATTACTGAGTGGTAAATGATTTTAATAATTGTATTTCTTCTTCCTTAGGTATGATGCTGCCATCTTTGACCTCATCTGTCTACTTTTTTGTATTTTTGGGTCTATGCACCTGGTGGTCCTGGTGCCGGACATTTGATCCATTGCTGTTCAGCTGTCTCTGTGTTCTCCTGGCTATTTTCACTGCGGGACACTTGATTGGACTTTATTTATACCAGTTCCAATTCTTTCAAGAAGCAGTTCCACCCAGTGACTACTATGCAAGGTAAGAGAAGAGAAATCATTATGACATTTGAAAGGGAGGTGATCCTGCCTTTATGATCTTATTTGAATTTGCAGGGGTTCTTCTTGATGCCATTGATGTGTAAGCAAAGGGTTGATGGGGATGGGGAAACAATCTAGTGCTTTAAATTTTTTGAATGACATAGTCTAGAAAATAGTAGATGGTCCATTCAGATGGAGGTGCTGCTGGGACAGGAAAGAGGTAAGCTGCTATTTGTAGCAAGTGGGACAGGTACATAGTCTCAGCTATGGAATGAGATCCAGGAAGAAGATTTCATACCAAAGAGTAATGACAATGTGTTAAAACATCCAGCAGGAAGGAACTCTCATGGGCCAAGTAGAGGACATATTGAGAATCAATCAATCAATCAATGATTCTAAAATTTTTTAAATAAAAATATATGAGTTCATGCTGAGAGAAAGAGAGATCTAATTTGCTTCAAATAAAGATGACTACTACACACACTCCTTACTGTGAAATGGGGATTAAAGATAAAGAATCCAGCATTTACTTTGACTTTTTGGAGAAACTCTAGGCCATTCTCAGTTAATGAGGGAAAACGCCTCTTTACAGAGTAACACCAGCTAATGAAAGGGAAATTTTTGTTCATTCTTAGTTGCATGATTGTATTGTTGGTTTATAGGAAAATGTCATTATTTTAGGAAATACACAGTGAATTATTTAGGGATGAAGTGTCATGATTTCTGCAACTTTCTACTGGTTGAACAACAAACATGGGAGAGAGAGAGAGAAAGAGAGAGAGAGAGAATTATTTAAACTAGGTGATTATCATTAGATTATTCATTGTCCTATTTTAAATGTTCTTTTTGTATGGAAAAGTTCATAATTAAAAGTTACAGAAAAGAGAAAAGGGAACAGAAAGGTCAGAGAGAATGTATGTCAGGGTGAGGAGAAAATGGTGCCAGGATTCTTCTGTCTGATGTCTCTGGGAAGTGAAATAGGCACCTAAGTGAAATAAGTCGGATAGAGATAAACAAATGCTATATATATATCACACATGTGGAATCTAAACAAAAAAGACAAACTCCTAGGAGCAGAGAGTAGAATGTGATTGCCAGGGTGCTGGGGTAGGGAAATAAGGAGAAGCTGGTGAGAGAGTACAGTTCAGTTAAGAGATAAGTAAGTTCTGAAGATCTAATGTACAGCAGAGTCACTATAGTTAGTAATAATGTATTATATACTTGAAATTTGCTAAAAGAGTGTATCAAACATTCTCATACACAAAAGAGCTATGTAAGGTGGTGATTGATGTTAATTACCTTGATTGAGGTAATCATTTCACAACATATACTTACACCAAACCATCAAGTGGTTCACGTTAAATATATTATGATTTTATGTGTCAATTGGCCTTCAGTAGAGAACCTCCTATAATGGTGCAGATTTTTGTTATACACATATTTGTTTTAGGCAGGAGTAAATAAGTTTCAATATAGACATAGTACTAGAATAAATGAATCCTTTGATTTAGGTGTTTAATTTTTGGTTTAGTAATAGAACACACAGAAGTAAATATTTTGTGCTAATGACATTTAGAGGATCATTTAATTGGAAATGTAAACATATTTTTCTATAGGGCAGTAGTCCTGACCCTCACCCCACCCCAGTTGGAGGATCTTTTTTACCATCTAGAGACTGATGATAAGAAATACAAAGAAAATTTTAGAATCACCTTGAAAACATTTTTCTATAAAGGGTCAGTTAGTAAATATTTTATGACTTTTCAGGCCTATGGCCTTTGTCATGGTTCTTTCAAAAAGCCTTCGTAGTATAAAAGCAGCCATGGATAAAATTTCAAAGAATGAGTGTGGCTGTGTTCCAGTAGAACTTTGTTTGTGAACACCAACATTTTAATTTCCTGTTATTTTTACGTTTCGTGAAATATTACTTTTCTTTTAATTTTTTTTAGCCACTTAAAAATGTAAAAAACATTATGAGCTCACATGCTGTACCCAAAAAGGTGGTAAATCAGACCAGGCTAGGCAACCTATGGTGTAGATCATTTCAATCCTAATCGTGCGATAACTTATATTTCTTTTTCATTTGGATTGTCACAAATTTATAATTATAGTATAACTTTTTATAGATATTGTGTAGATAAACCCTTTAAATAGTTTAAAAGTTCCATTACTATAATCTCTTAGAGTAAGTCATTGGAAGTTAGGTTGCTTAGCAGGGTATAGATAGTTTGAGCAACCCAATGCAATGTTGTAGATTCTTTCCCCTATTACCTATGTGGTAGTCCTAGAAAGCTTGGAAATTTACATTTTTAAGCAATAATTTTTATAAGGCATAATTTCCGTGCATTGTTATTAAACCTAAATTCTGAGTTGGAAGAAAATGTGTAAAAAAATTTCTTGTGTGAATGTTTATCACAAATTTTATATCCATAGATCCTCCAGCCTATGTCCAGCATCAGATATGGCTGACCGCTTAAACTAATCCAAGCCACTTTTATCGTCTCATAAACTTTCAGATAGGCTCTCTGATATGAATTATCATTATTTTTAGAAAAAATGAATTGACTTGTTTGTCATTAGTATAATATGTGTTAGTTGGTGATTATTTGGAAAAATAAAATGAAGAATAAAGAAAACAATTTTTTTAAATGTAATTCTAACTCCCAGAAATAAACACTTTATTTTTTGTCTATATTCTTCCAGTATTTTTCTTATGCATATGTGTTTTTAAAAACAGACTTTGAATCATAATGCACATACTGTTTTATAACTCACTTTGCTCAGGTATTGCATTACATTTTCCCATGTTATGAAATGTTCTTTTTCTAATGTGATTTTCTTAGGCTGAAAAGTGTATAATAATGCGGCTATATTATAATTTAGTAAATTCCTGATTTTGACCATGTAGATTTAGATTGTTCTTCATTTTTGCTCTCTTGAGTACTGCTGTGATGAGCACCCACATTGCTTCTGAATTTAAGTAATACTGAAAATGCAAAATGCAACCCCTGGCCCTCTAGGTTGTGAAAGAGCTTCTGCTGGAGGATCTCCAGGTTTCAGGGATCCTGGACCAACATGATGATAATTTTCTGGTTTGTGATTCTCTCCTCATGCAGGTGTTATAAATTAAAATCCCAGTGTGGCACAGATTTAGGGTTTTATTTTTCTCTAGGCAATCTCTTCTTTCAACGCAATGGCCCCAAGAGATCATATGCTTACTTCCAGCTCCATTCAGGCCTATGGTGGAATCTTTCCATTTTGGTTAGCCAGGGAAGGGTATGAAGGTGAGTAGGGACTCACAAGTATATGGGATGGACAGGAGACCAGGTTAATTGAGAGGCAGATCAGAGGAGTGATATTGCCTCAGGGCGAATTAGTGATTCCTATCTATTTTTGAACATAGAAGTCACATGATCATATTTTCTAAAACAAAATTCAGAGTTCATTATTTGATAGTTATGGGGTGTTTAAGACACTGTGTCTGAAAGTAGGATTATTCTTCCCAATTCTGAAATGCTACACTATATTGTAACCATATAAAACAAATAGTGACCACTCCTCTGAAGTTGATACAGCTAAATAAATCTTCAAAACAAATCTGTATAACTAAATGTAAAACTGATCAATACTATTCAACATCATTTGTTTAATAGAATGGAGCCCTATTACAAGTGTTATTCTAGCAGGTCTCCCTAAAAAAAATGGTGAACCGAACAACATTTGACTTAGGTTATCCAAAGTGTAGTCCCTTCTAAAAGTTTTGTATTTTCATAGGAAATTTCTAAGACAGCATACACCTTAAATTTGGAAAGGGATGAAGCAAGAATAAAAGATGGTGGCCAGTGCTCCGATTCCTTCAATTATATGTGTGCATGTCCTGGCTTGTTTCCCTACCTGAAAAGCTGGCTGTGATTATAAAGTCTTAGGCAACTTGTGTCCTGTAAGCTTTCTGCGTTAGAAGTGCAGAAGGTGCACTAGATTGAGGATGAGGACAGAGGCACATGGACCTGATTTGTTTTGCCTTATCATCAATGTGAGAAGCATTGAAACACTTTAAAATGTGTTCAAATGCTATAAACTTCTATTAGTGACATGAATTAATAGTCAATTTTAATAGTTTGGCAGCACTGGCCTATTTCCTTGTGAAGATGGTATCAAAATTGATTCTGAGGTAAACTCATCTAAAAACAATCCTTCACAAAAAGTGGGTTATTTGGTTTTTAATCTTGAATTATATGGATCAAAAGTTCTGACATAGACCACAGTGAATGGCATGGAAGGAGACTGAAATGCTTATTGTTTTCTTAATCATAATGTAGACACTGGAGCTCATACATTTTTTTTCCGCAACCCTATTAATGAGCATTTTGTATACATTAAGGTATGAGATGAGTTGTGACTGAATAATTCTTTGTCTCTTCTAATCTTATACTTGCATTCCAAATCCTGAACTTTCTCTTTTACTCACAGGAGTCACTTGTAGGGATTGAACTCGTTTGCTCAAATTCAATTTGTTGTTTTATTGCTTTTATCACCTTAAATTGTACAGTTTGGAAATGAAAGGATAGAAAGAAATGGGAAAGATCCTTGGGCAATTCTCTATTAAATATACAACAATTTGTCCTATGTTATTTACCTGTTTATGTCTATTTCAATAAATTATGATGATGAGTAAATGCATTATGTTTCATGAAGGAAAAGCTTATGTTTATTTCAGTGTTACAAATGTGTAAAAAAACAAAGCAAAGCCTAGAACCCCAGCACCGTTCTGTGACAAATGACAAAATGTTAACAAAAAAAAGCATTAAAAGTATAATATTATTATATTCATACTATTTTTATACTAGTCATAAAAATGTCATTAATATGTAAGGAGTAATAAGGGCCTCAATGTGATATGTCTTTTTATTCTAGTTTGGAGAAGCCAGTGGGCCCTTTAGAAAATGAAACAATGTAATCAGTTCTTTTGATAGGTCTGTAGCAGTTTGTTTTGCAAATGGT